TTCTTTTATTCAACGCCAAGTAATATTGAATACCCAGAAAACAAAAAAAAAAAAAAAAAGACGTTTTACACAGTCAGATAAAATTGATGCCTACCGCATCTACAGTAAAAGTCGGGCAGCTTATCATGTTTTGAAAGAGTTCCTTGAACTTCCAGCTGAACGAACTCTTCAACGTTTTATCTCACCAGAATTGTCACGTACAGGAATCAGTGCAGATGTCATATAAGCACTGAAATAAGTTTTACAAAATAAGTAAAATCACGAAAGAATGTTTGCATTGATCTTTGATGAGATGTCATTGAAACCCTGTCTAGTGCATGATAAACAAAATGATCGCATAGTTGGATTTGAGGACTTAGGTGGTTTTCCCAGTGATTCAATTGCAAATCATGTACTAGTATTAATGCTGAGAAGTTTAACCAGCAAGAAGAAACTTCCACTTGGATTTTACTTCTCCAACCATGCAATAAATGCAGAAAGACTGAGAGAAATACTCACAGAAGCTTTAACAAAATTATCGGATGCTAATGCCGTAGTTAAAGCTCTGGTTTGTGACCAGGGGGGAAAATAATAGTAGGTTGTTTAGAATTTTAGGAGTGGATTCTCTTAAACCATTCTTTGATTTTAATGGACAGACTATTTATTGTCTGTTTTCAGAAATATTTCTTAGAGTTTCCACATCTTAGAAGGACTTTCTTACCAAGTGAAATTTGTCAATACAATCATTTGAGTTTGGCATGACTTAGACAAAACACTGCATTATTATGGTGACAATTGTTTTTATTTTAAAGTGTTTTTAATGTGTTATTGAAAATATTTGTTACATATACATTTACAAAACTTTGAATTTAACAGAGATATAAAAGTGAAGCAGCTTATGTTTCCACTTCTCAACTTTGTTTATATAAGGGAATAATAATAAGTTCAACAGAAATTTAAGCACAGACTTTATTTCCAATGTTGTAGTTGTTTATTGTAAGTTATTATTGATCTGAGCCAATATTTTTGATTGTATTAGCATCAAACTGAATGTTCTGCACATCAATAAAAGACAATGATTCTTTTGCTGTAGCATAACAAATCTCCAACAATTTTCTTACCTGCACATTTTTTGGGCCAATACAAATTTAATAAAAGAGATATCAAGTGTGCTAAGCCTAAGTATTACTATATACACTTTAATTTAGATGCTTTATCATGTTTAACCGATTAATATTATGTCTTTTCCTGCTAACTTAAATTTATATGCTTTAAATGTCATGGTGAACCTGTTTATTTTACTTCTATATGCTAAATATTTATTTCATTGCATTCCCTTAAGCATACTCTTCTATTTATTTGATACATTACTTTACAGCAAAATCCACTTTGAATGTTATTTGAAATTGTTACCTGAAAATACCTTTAATAAGTAATGTTGTTGAAATCTGCGAACTATTTATATAGTAATTTCACAGCCTCGAAACCTTTCCGTGCAAAAGTTTAAAATTGAACCCCTATAAAACTTTCTTTGAGCTGAATAGGCTTTTCAAAAGTTGATTATCTTTCAACAGTCCATTATGAACAAAACATTTTGACAGCATTCTGGAACATCTAATCAAGAAGTTGTTGAAAAGTGTAGTATTCATGAAGGAAGTTAATGCTTCATAATTATTTTATGTTAATTCCTCATTTGTTTAAAAAAAATTAAAGGTCTTATGGCTACAATTTTGCATGGTGATATAAAGAGTTAAATAGGTTGGTTTTCAAGCAAGGTTATTATCATCTAGCAATAAAACCAAAAATAATATTTATTTGTAAAAAAAACATCTACTGTTTTTCTGAATGTATGTATACATTAATAGTTTATTTTGAAAAAGACTGCAATTTGGTGTAAAAGAATTTTCAGTACATTTTGTTAGTTTTATTTGTTACAAATAAAACTAACCAAATTTTTAGTATTTTCTTCTTATTGCCTGTTTCTTGAAATTATTTAATAAAATTATTCACATATAAAAACATTTTTTTTAAATTTTGTGCTGTAAAATAAGTTATATACGTATGTAGCAGAGATGTAGTTGTTACATCATTATTTTAAAAAATAAAATGATGCAAAGTAAGAATATTTGAATTTTTTTTTTTATTCTTATTTTACCTTCTTTTTTAATTATATTATTTTTTTATATAACTGGATTCTTTTCAACCAAAACGGCGTAATTTGCAATTTCAATGTTTTGGTAGAAAAAAAAATGCAGAAGTTAGCGCCTCCCTAACTTCTGCATTTTTGCTGCCCCTAAATTTTGGATCCCAGTGCTTTCCCTAAATTCTAAAAGTTTTATCATCCCTTAATTTTGTCGCTCAGTGCTTCTCTAAATTCCAAAAATTTTGTGTTCCCTAAATTCCGCCGCGCTCTGCCATGTGGCCTCAGGCGCCGGTTCTGGGTTATACTATATATGAGTCGGTTCTGGGTTTATGTGAATAACAAATCAGTTATTCTTAATTCAAATAGCACTAAATGTAATCTTTTGGTCTATAAGTATCATTAACAAAATCTATTTTTAACATATGGAAAGAAATTTTTAAATTTTTCATCGTCTACATTTCATAGCGCATTTAACTTAAATATCTAATCATCGCCAAGCGTATTTTCAACATAAAAGGTCCTCATGTACTTTGTTACTTAATTACTACTATAAAACAATTGTTTAGGCAACGCTGCATGAGTCGTTATTCAAGTTGTCATGTGTTGATAAACATGCCATTAAGAAAGCATAATATACTTGTGTTCACCAGTTTGGCGTCAGGGCTATAAAATATTAGTAAGCGTAAAATGGTTCGCCAGGTTGACGTCAGTGATGTAAAATATTAGTAAATGTAAACTCAACAATGTTTCTATGTACAGAATGCATGCCAAACGCATAAGCAGCCAAATTATTGATCTCACAAATTTATGCTAAAATGATTGTTTCTTCAATAACATGGTATTTTATTTAGTATCGAAGTGAAATTAAGATCGGGCTCTCCACATGTTTTATCAACGGTGGGGGGAATAAAATGCGCATGCGTAAAGCATTCAAAAAAATTTCCTTAAAAAACATTTTGTTGGTGGCTTTGAAGTCCGGATTTTAGATCATTTCGGATATTGGACGTCCAGATATTGAATGTTCGAATCTCGGACTTTGTACTGTAGTATGCATTAGAATACCAATTATATTTGTTTATTTGAAAACTACCTTCAATTTAATCTTCGTGATTCTTTTTTCTTGATTCTAAGTTTTCTATCCAGATATTTCTTTTATACCTCCGGCAATATTGCTGAAGCTACAAGCAATACTTTATTCCTTTCAAATATCGTCATTATTAATGATACTAGTCTGTTTTGAGGGCCGTAAGAAAATTGCAGCGAAAATGTATGCGCAAAAGCGCCAAATTTAGCAAATGCGCCAAATCTAGCAAACTCGCCCATTTAACAGTGCGCCAAATCTAGCGTACGCGTTAGTTTCAGATTGCGTAAGTTTATATAGTTCTACATTTCTTGAGACGCCATTGAAATACTTTAATTAATTTTTAAATCCTTTTTTGATTTTAAATCCTTTTTTGACATCCTATGGATTTAACAATTTGGGAACTGCCCATGATGAAAAGTCGGCAGTAGAATTTTGGATAAAGTGCAGAATCACCCACTGCTTGACGCGTTTTTAAGAATTGCACATACTCGGTATCCATGTGCACATCGACCTATTTTCACTTAAAAAAAAAAAAATCCTAGAATTGCACAAAAATGGCACTGCGCACATCCTTGACTTTATCTATGTACACATCGGACCTATTTTTACTTAAAAAGTAAAAGAAAATTGATAAAAAAATCCAATCGTTTTTACCCTTGTAAAAAGCGGCAAACAAATAAGTGAGCAATTCTGCACTTTACCGAGAATATTTTCAAAGAAAAGGCATCATTCATTATAGAAAATTACGTTTGAACAACCAACGAGATGAAACTGTGCTTTAGCGATAGGTCGGTAACGAAATAGCGATGCAGACATCCATTCAGTTATGTTTAGCAATTTTTATATAAATTATAATAATTATCTGAAATAGTTATTTACTCTTATGCTTCCATTCAGTCGTGTTTAGCCTTTTTCATATAAATTATAATAATAATAAAGTATTATATAACCTTCCATCTAAATTAAAACATCAATCTTAGATAGTTATTTACTATTATACTTCCTTTCTTGCGTTAGGGTTGTCGCAATTCTTTTTGGCAGCATTGGCATCAACGATAATTTGGCTATTTTTATGGCCCTCGAAACCGAATAGTACCTTATTAATATTATGGTTATTATTATTTTGCTGTTTCCTCCGCTGTTTCTCACCATTCTAGCTTCAAGTTCATCCACGGAAATGCCCTTGTCGGAAGTTGCATTGCAGAAGAACTATTTCTGTTGGAGGCACAAGGGATGTCACAAATCAGAACTGGGATAGAGCTCGGTAATCTCGGGCTTGAGTTGTTAATCCGTGAATATACGCGCACGATTTCTGACCCACTTACTCTATAAAAGCAGGTGAAATGTACGAAAACATTAGAGAATTTGCACAGTCACAGCACCTTTAAAATGAATAAACTAATGGGAGGACTATTTACATACCGTATGAAAGGAAATAAAATAAATTTTGTATTTAATTTTACTTTGCAACACAAGATGAAATACTCTAAGCAGTTTTCTCACAGGATAGCTTCCTTTCCGTATTTCTATTAATTTTCGCTTGCATCTTTCGAAAGCCAAGAAAGCTTCAAATGTAACATGAAAATGAAATTAAGGCAAAACTTAAACTAACTATGCGTTTCAAGGAGACAGACATAAGTTCCCTCCTCTATATTAAACAAAATTATTCTTCCAAAATACTTTTGCTCTATGAAGTGGAAGCCCACATTTGTCTCCAGTATTTTTGCTGTAATAGATTTTATAAATTTAAACAATAAATTGAAGACAAATTTCGAATGTAATCATTTATTTGAGTACAACCTGAACCTTTACAAAGGTAAATATTTGCAAGAACATTTTTTAAACCATAGAAAATATTCATATGAGACGTGACTGACACAAGTTACACGCTGACGAAGCAATGCTTATGACATGGACTAAAACATAAGTGACTAAATTATTTTCGTACATATTTCAAAAGAAAAAGAAACTTGCTTTACGCAATGACGAAGAGATATTATGTATGTTAAAATAAATGGGAAGCTACATACAATTTAACTGTTCTGGTACCAAATTAATACATTATGTATTGGCTTTTCATTGCCAATACAGTAATTTCTGTCATTTTAAACTGAAACACGTTATAAATTTAGGGAAAAAAAAAAAGAAAAAAAAGAACTGATCGATGCTTATACATTTGAGACGAAAAGTTCTCGTTCACCACACATTTGTCGACCCAACTGGATGTTTTTAGGAGTGATGGTCACACAGTTGGTGCGGATAGCGCACAGATTTGCGTCTTCAAACAGTCCAACCAAATATGCTTCGCTCGCCTTCTAAAATAGAATGAAAATTATTGAGATGCGGTACAAGTAGTTACAAACAAAATTAGGCAAACACGTAACCTGGCACGGAATCCATATTTAATTTCTAAATAACAAAACTGAAATACCAAAAGTTGGTTCATCTACTTCCCTTAGTTATTACAATTAATTATTATGTACACTAAATCTTTTACATACTTTTATAAAGAATTTTCAATAAATTTTAATCCTGACAAAATATGCAGGTCTACCAATGGCTAAGTGGATATCACTGTTTAAAGTCGAGATACAGCATTGGTTTCATATGTAAAATGTGTTTTCTCCATAGGACGGTAAACTGGCCTGAATTAAAGTTGTGCGTTAAGTTTCTGCGTATATCATATTAATAAGATTAAAAGGGTGAAAATTTAACGACTAACATAATCAAACTTTCATAAACTCACTTGCAAGACTCCAATTGCAGCACATTGAAAACGGAGGTCAATTTTGAAGTCAGAAAAAATTTTTCTCACTAGTCTCTGGAACAGTAGTGTTTCTATCACCAATTCAGTTGACTTCTGGTAACGACGGATCTCACGCAGAGCTACAGTTTGAGGCCTGTATATGTGAGGCTTCGTCACACCACCTGTAGAAGGCGCACTCTTCATTGCAGCTTTCGTGACAAGGTGCTTACGAGGTGCATCCTGTTTAGTGTGAGCCATTTCAATATCACTTTACCTGAAGTGAAAATTCAGAAATCAGCATTGAACTATGTACTTCAAATTAAAATATTTTGCTAGTAAAATTTAGTTTTCTTAATTTTTTTTTTAAAACCGATCTACTACAGACTTAAATCGAATGTCTTTCAAAAAATTCAAAATATTGCTCAGCAAAATAGCCACAGCAAAATTTTAAAATATCTGTTATTGTGGGTACTGCTTGATTTTCAGGGCCTCCGCGATTAACCACTAAATTACGTAAAAAAAAAATTGCTTCGACGACTTTGAGGAACCGCGTGATATCATTTTTTTAAAATTTAAACTATGTAAAAATCTTGACCAGTTTCCAAATCGGGAAGGAAGCATACTGATATCAATGACTGTAGACCACGTGCTATATCAATCGACAATATATTGATTATTGGCGAGCCTAATAAAACAGACAACCCTGAAAAGCCATTTAACTGAATTTAACTGCCATACTGTTTATAGTTTTTCAGCTTTTCACATAACTGTGAATTTAACTGCAATACTGTAGCCATTTAACTGCCATACTGTTTATAGCCATTTAACTGTGAATAATACATTTAATTTTGTTGATCCAACAATCGGTTTTCAGACCCAAAATGTGGAAAGACATTTTGAGCACCGATTGTTGGATCAACAAAATGAAAGTGGTACGGCTCGACATCATCTAGAGTGGTATTTTTCCGAATTCATGTGGTGGCAGTTCTTTGGGGAAGAAAAACCTTTTGATGCCATATTATAAAACAATAGCAGAAATAAGGCAGCTGCAAACTGTATACGAATAGTTTCAACTTGGCGATAATCTTGGCGCCGTTTTGAGAAAGGGCTAGTGAAAATCAATGAGTACCAGTGGCGTAGCGACGGGGGGGCAAGGGGGTGTATGATACCCCGGGCGCTGCTCGCAGAGGGACGCCAAATTGTCTCCAAACAAGATTTTCCGAAAAATTTCAGTTTATATTTTGATCGATTTCTGAAAAATGTATTTAAAATTAATAATTATTGTAATATAACTAATCATTTATTTTCTTGATTTGTCTGATAAAATGTGTAATAAATGATTATGCTTGCAGTACATCAATCAAACATCTCCGTATACAAAACTTTTTTTCTGACCACTTTATTTTTGTAAAATAGATGTATGTTTTTATTTTTTTAAACGAAATGCATGCATAGCTCTCGCTTTTTATTTTAAAAAGATAACAAACGGTCCAGTCTCATATTATAACCCTTCGACCTTGAACTACATTCTTAGACAAAAAAACCGACGTACCACGACGCACCGAGAAGATATAAAGCAAATTGAACACAAATTGATATGCATACAGGTTTCGACGGGAAATGCAAAATTTTACATTTTGGCTGCCAATGAATGAACGGTTGTCGCTACAGCGCATCTGATCTGCTCAATTGACAGGATATTTAAGAGGAGAAATTACGATTCCAGGTTATAAATTCTTGACGAATTTCATTCCGTGTACTCTGGTAGACAGTAACTATATGCGCAGATGTCAGAATTTGAGAGAATGTAGTTGGGCGCAAAGAAGCCGGTTGGTCTTATCGGCGAATAGCTCGACATTTGAGCAGGAGCGATGCCACTATTAGACGAAGTTGGCAGGAATGGATGAACCATGGCCGCACACAGCGTCAAAAAGAAGCTGGTAGGCTTAGAGAAATTTCTATTTCAGGTCTAGAGCCCCCAAATTTCCGCAGTAACTAGCTTACTATGTTATTTCTAGGAACAATTAAATTTTGTTAATTTTATTAATAGTTAAATTTTGAGTTAAACTTCCTTTCCTGTCGCTTCTTAACTTCAACTTAGCACTTCCGGCCAGAACGTAGTATTAGAATCACGTCTCAATACAATAATGAGGAAGACCGGTATATAACCGCGAAGTTTTACTGTCTGAGAGGAGAAAGATATCAGAGATTCTGGTCAGCACACATCCGCCTTTTTAGGCTACTCTCTCTTAAGCTATAGTTACGCTCGGCCGTACTTTAGGCCCTTGATAACTTCGCAGTCAATTAGCGTTAAGGGGCCAACTAAATTACAATCTTAATAGCTTCGGCTACATCTCTTTAGTTAAGATAAGTTTAGTTTAATTCTTAGCTTCTTAAGTTCACGACCAAGTGTCGGCTTTATTGTACAACTCCAAGACGGAGTTCTGTTAAATCTTATTTGAATAATAAGGGATTAATTCAGAAGTCAAACAACAAAAATCAGCGTTAATTTTCAAAATTTTCACAGGACTAGTTTCGATGGTTTTACCGAACCACCATCCTCAGCTGCAAAACCGCAAGATTCTTCACTTTCAACGTTAACTTACAATTACGCAGTGGAGAATCCTACAAGCTTTATACAAAAATGGAACTTCCATTTCCCTATCACCAGTGCAGGATTTACATATAAGCTACAAGAGCTATAGTTTAGGGCCCCCCAAAATTTAAAATATAGCATAACAGACTTATAAAGAGCCCCAGTTTTCAAATAGCTTAGGGTCTCATCAAGTTTAAATCCAGCACTACCTATCACTAATAGTTGCAGAGATTTTCCATTTTTAATTGCGTGTAATTGCCTTTAATGTCTTTTTATTTCTTCAATAACTTCTCTTTCCGAAACTTTCACAAATTATTTTTTATTTAGACCATATCAATGCCAAGGAAAAAACTTAGCGGTTCTCAGAATCGGAAAAGAAAACTAGGGCAAGAAAAAGAAGCTCAGAACTCCAGAATAAGAATGGAATTATATTTAATAAACAAATCGAAAAAAAAATGGGGGGGGGAAGTTAAGAAGGATGAAGAACTAAAATCAGATTCAAATTGTATTTCTATTGCTGCTAAACGTTTATGCAATAACACATCACAACAAATAAAATACTCTAAAGATGATGAAGTTGGGGGCTCAAGTACATCAGAAGTCCCAAATCCATGTCCATTACTAATAAGTACAGAAAATGCAACAGAAACCCTCACTGCAATTCAGGAAATTCTGGAGTTCAATGACGTTGCTTTTTTAAAATTCTCTAATAATCTTCCAATAATATCGAACCATCTTCGCGCTGAAGTGATTATTCGATTGAATCAAAGATTTATTGAAATACATGCTAAAGATGCAGCCTCAATTGAAAATACAATTTTAGAAAAATTAAATTCCGATCAGATTTCATTAACAAACTGTAGATTACAATGTTATGATAATGCTGCCGTGATGTCAGGTCACATATCTGGCGTTCAACAAAGAATTATGGAAAAAATAATAAAGCATTATTTGTAAATTGTGATAACCACTCATTAAATTTAGTAGGAGTCACTGCAGCTAAGTAAGATCCAATCGTTATAACATGCTTTGGAATAATTGAAAACATATATCTCTTTTTCTCACGTTCAACATTACGATGGGAATTATTAAAAAATGCTTTAAAGAATACTGTTAAACATAAATCTGAAGCACGATAGAGCGCCAGAGCAGAAGCGGTTAGCGTTATTGTTGGAGAACAGGAAGAATTAGTAGAATTATTAGAAAAATTAGCAGAGGATACTACTACTACAAGTGACACCAGAAGTGAAGCTGCATTTTTATTGCAAAATATGCTGAATTTTAGTTTCATAACTTTAGTCCATTTCTGGCATAAAATCATGAGGTGCAGCTTAAGATTACAAGATCCTAAAATGAATTTTAGAGAAGCGTTCTTGATCGTCTGCAACAGGAAATAAATAAGCGACCTAAGTGATCTTAACTCCAAATTTGGATTTTTACTGGATGTTGAAAATTTATTAAACAAGGATAATGTTGATAACGGTCTTGAAAAAAAATTGTAAGAATTTGGGTGAATTTTATAATACAGATTTTAATAGAACAGAACTTCTATGTCGAAATATGTGATTGCAAGATGTTACTCACCAGTAGAAAAGAAATTGAACTTAAAACTCCATTACAGCTTCTTACCTTTATAATATCGTATGGAGAAGATGTTTTCCAAACCTGAGAGTCGCTCTGCAAATACTCCTTACTATTTCAGTATCAATTGCTAGTAGTATCAATTATTATAATATAACACTATATTATATTAAATATAGCGACCTTATATATATTAACTTTTAAATTGTTTGAAAATTGTACTTTTTTTTTAAATTAATTTAGTATGTTAAGTAAATAATATCTTTAACTTATTCTAGATGTCCGATTTTTCTACTGACAGACAGATTTCCGAATCCAATTCCAGTCTTGGTTTTTTAACAAGATTCTTTTGCCTCAAATTTAAATTGCTTTTGGGTAAATTATCCCAAGCCTAACCTGAGCCTGTGTATCCTATATATCTCGAAAAACAGAGCAGTATTTTGTAGAAGAGTACTTGCAGTGACTATTCGTAATATATTATAGAATATTTTAAGTTAGGTACTGTAACCTTTACTTTTGTCTTATATTCTTATTACAAGTATATTCTATATATTACATTACTATATGCTTTTAAAGGGGGCGCCAGAAAGGTATCGTGCCCCGGGCGCCAGTTATGCTAGCTACGCCACTGATGAGTACCTTATTATATTATAGTTAGTGAAAAGTCGGTATTGCTACAATGTTTTTGATAATGGCAAGTTAAAAGCGCTGAGCTTCAAAACATGTTTCAAATTCTTAATTTTTTTAATGTGCGCTTTAATATTTTGATGACTAGTTACTAAATTGCCACTTTTCAAAATTAATTTTTAGCATTGTGTCCAAACGGCATGCTAGCACTACTGCATTACGCCTTCCATCTCCCACCGCTTCACCAAAAGACAAAATATTTTATTCAGTCCACTGCAATAAGGCGTTTATAATCCATTAATGCAACGATACGGATAAAAATAATTGTTCATAATGATATGGAAAGGAGCACAATACAAAATATAAACACCTTTTTGTACATTATGTAGAATCGTGGGGCAATTATTTTGAATTACTTTTAATACTAGGTTCATATGCAGCCAAGTGGCTAAATGTCAACAGGTGCAATTTAAAATTCCTATTGTCGAAAAGATAATGAGCGCTGCTAGATTGAAAATAAAATTATGAGAATAAATTGCAGTACCAAAATAAAATTAACAAACTAGTAAAATTTTTACACCTGGAAAGAAAAAAAATCCTATTTTGAACTGTTAACCATACGTTTTTCTAGGTATATAGAAACATGTGCACATAGAAAATGGTACCTCAAGGGATTCCAACGGTTAGAAGCATGTATTTCAAAGAATGCTTATGAAAGACAAATGCAACAACAAAACAAAACAAAAAAAAAAAAAAAAAAAATGAAATGAAGTGAATTTTAGAGGCATTAAAGAGACAAGAATTATATTGTAACGGCATAGTAGGAAGACGGAGAAAGAATTTCACAGAATCGTGACATACCGTATATTCTCACGTAATGTCCGCACTTTTTCTACGAAAATTGCATCACTAAAACGCAGGTGCGGACAATTAGACGCGTCGTCCAAATGTTGCGCTTTTTCTCGTGAGTAATTTTGGACGTAAATTTCATTTCAAACAGCCAAGTTAAAATCTAAGTGGAAGAAAATGGCATAAGTAATAAAAGTATCAAATTTTAAGTTGTCTAATACTTACCTAAAATTAACAAACTCACTTTCTCCCATCCACATAAATAATAAATTACCCCGTTTACGTTATCAACACTCGGCACGTATTAGTCCGCACAGGAGCACAAATTAACCAACACTTGCAGTTTTAATATTTACTTTTACGCAAATTAAATAAACGTTGATTCTTTTAATATGGTGCACACATTTTTTTTTTTTTTTTTTTTTTTTTTTTTTAATCTCTTCTGACGCCGCACTGTATGAAAATCCATTTCGTTTTATCATTCACCGGAACCAGCCTTCTCTCGCCTTGAATTGTGATGTAGGAATATCTTCTCATGCCGCAGCAAGAGCTCTTATTTGGCACATTTTTTTTTTTTTTTTTTTTTTTTTTTTTTTTTTTTTTTTTTCCGTGTTTAAAGGCGTGCCCTGAGCACGCATTTCGGATATGGATGTAGCAGGCCCATCAGGCGTTAATTTTGTTGATGGAAAAGAAGATGAAATGATTGATTTACATTTTGCCGATGACGAAATAGTAAGTTTACTCTTTTAAGCAAGAAAGGATTTCGTTAATATCCTTTATTTATTAAAAATTAGTTCAAATAATTTTATTAAAGATTTCACTGTGGGTCATAATTTTTTTAGTTAGGTGAACCGACCCAGTTCTGTCTAGAAAATACAATAGCTCCCTATCCTTATCAAAGTGCGTTGAGTTTGGAGGTAATTATCACCTTTTCTCAAGTAGTTAACTTTTTCCTAAAATATAGAGATTTCGATACATGATACTTTTTTTTTCAAACTTACTTTTTTCAAATTAGGATATTTCAAATGAATTTGCTGTAGAAGCTTGGTTTGGTTTTGGTTTATTAGATTACAACAAAGCACTCGATGGTTATCTGCCTTAAGGAAGGGATGCCTTCTTGGAGAACTTTTTAAGGAAAACTGACTCGTATACACGTTACACATGGAGAAAACCACGAAAACACCCATGCAGCCAGCCCGTTCGCGGGATTCGAACTTCGAACCGAACTACCAGTGTTCAGCGACGTTACCGCTCAGCCGAATTTGCTGTAGAACATCCACTAAATGCAGGAAATAATATGGTTTGAAGATTCTTCGCTGAACGCGTCAGTCTGTCCCAACTAACCTTTCTTCTAATATGTATAACTTTCATTGCAAATATGAAACCAATGAAATGCTGAAAAAGTGTTTACTGAATGTAATTTTTATCCTTAATAACCTGCCGTGAATTTTTACGGAAGTAAGGAGAAAAACAAATCGTCGCTTTAATGCTACAGAAGTAACTTATCATACTAGGATAAATCATTCAGAACTTCCAGAACCCGTAAATCACGGGTTGTTAGAGAAGAAATGATTTTTTAGAAGCTTTACTAAGCGGAGTAATGCAAGAAGCGACACAAAACTTAAATAATGAAGACCTAATTAGGTAAATCAGTTACTCATATCGCAATTAGAAAAAACTTTGATATTTTATTAGTATGTTTATCATTATTATTATTTGGTAGAATTTGCATGCACAGCGATTATTTGAACCGAGGACCAGTTTCAACATGCTTGGATTCTGTCAGAGACATGACAGTTGAATTAATTTTATCCTCCATAATGAAAGTGTTACAGATAAAAATGTACCTTATATTATTATAATGTAAGTATATTCTTTATTAAATTGGTTACTTTAGTAAATGCTAATATTGCTTTATTTTTGCACTGAAGAATTTAAGAAAATCATGTGAATCAGCGACGAAGGAACTTTCAGTGATATCTTCTATTACTTGTGGTTCAAATCCCAACAGATTGCAAAGGCCTTTCTCGAAAATTAGTTTTGCTCCTTTCTCAGTTTTAATGTTCACACGCTTTGTCACAAGTTTGTATTTAAATGTAATTTTGTTTCTTAACAGTGGAATATTCATTTCGTGTTGTACACTTTCATAATATCCAGGTGGTAACCTTCTTCCCTGGAGTTCTCCATCTTTTAAAGCAAACCCGAACAACAGATTATTTTCTTTATTTATATTATACCATTCGTGCGGATAAATTATTTCGGTTAATCCAACTTCCCATAGACCGTTTAATGTAATTGGTATAGGTAGCTGTGTCACAAAATGCGAAAGTGTATTTTCTGAGAAATGTTCTTGACTACTATCAGAGGGCAGCGTCACGTAGAACGACACATCTCTAACTGATGAAATTCAGAACAGAATGTTCTCTTTTTATAACATTTTTACATCGGATACCCAAGCATTAAATTTATCCGGGTATCCCTGAAATTTGACAAAATACTACTGCATTTTTCCAGCCACTTTTTTTTTGTTTTAATATTTTTTCTACCGGATAAAATCCCGAATCAGATACTTTTTGTAGTTCATTTTCATAAAAACTACCTTCAATCACTTCTCCAGCTAAATCTCTTAATTTATAAACTACAGGTTTTCGGGGGATCATTCGATGAATTGTAAATATTTCTCGAGTCCAATTATTTTCGTAACCCTTCTCAAAAGGTCTTTTCAGCTTACTAATACGCACCGTATCGCCTGTTTTAAACTGGGGCTTCGTAACAGATTTTATCATATCACCATATAAATTCTTCCATACCACAGACTGATTATTTATATTCACTGATGAAGGTTCCATTTGAATACTGCGATGCCAAGTGTGATTGTAACTATAGATTAATTTATTCAACACATCTATATAGCAATGTGTGTTAAACTCTGTAAAATATTTCCACATTTTTGTCTTTAGAGTCCTATTAAATCTTTCAATAATGCTCGCTTTTGTTTCGTTATTTGTTGTAAAAATAATGAATGCCCTTTTCTTTAAATAAATTTTGCACTAATTTATTTTTAAATTCCGAGCCTTTATCTGTTTAATGAATCTGGTTTAATCTGTTTGTAATGAATCTGGTTTACGCTCTTTAAAAATGTTTTCAAATGCCCTTTTTACACTAGAGCCCTTCTTGTCTTTCAAAGGTATAGCCCAAGCATATTTCGAAAAAATATCTATGCATGTTAACAAATATTTATACCCTCTATTAAATCTGGCTAAATTTTGTAAATCTACTAAATCAGATTGAAATTGTTCGTCGATCCCCCCTACAATGACTCGGTTGCGTTGGAACTTGTGTCGCAGAGGCTTGTGAAGCGTATAAGAATCCCTCTTCTCTAACCATCTTTTGATCTCTTTGCTCTTTACTCCAGAAACACGACGTAAAGCATTGATACCACCGAAGCTTGCCGGTTGCGCTGGATTCCGATAAGTCAGATCCAGAATTTCTGACATTACAACATGAATTTTTATCAACGGAAAATGTGATGTTCATCCTCATACAACCGCTATCCAAATAAATGATAAATCAAATTTAAATTTATTTATACTTTTTATAAGCCCCTTACCTAATCCTCATAACAACCTGTTCAAACATTAGTTTTATAGTTTCATCTAAGTTAGAAAATTATTATTATCATTTCATTTCTTAAAATATAAAAAAATAAGAGACTAAATATTTCAATTGTAAACTCTTTTATATGCACAAAAAAGTATTTACAAACATTCACAAAATAACTTGATAGGCGATTATTCACACGCATATATATATATATATATATATATATATATTTACAATAAATTTAAAAAAAATGAACCAACTAACCTGAAACATATAAATCTTTAGCATTATTTAACAACATTTCATAATCAATATTTTTTAGAAATGACACTGTAATATAATTTGCAATATTCGAATTTTTACTCACAAATTCAGCAGCAATGTTCACAATATTTATTTTACACACACAGCAAGATCTCCATATTTCCAAAGTTTATCCGAATTGGTCATTGTGACACACTCATGGCCAAGCTGATTGCCGTATTCCATAATGCACCCACTACACTCGAAAATGTCCGCTATGTTTGAACTTATAGTCTCTTTTAAGAGTTCGATAAGAGATGTCGAAAGACACATTTCTGCATCAACAGGAGCGATTTGGTTGTCCTGATGCGATGGCATTTGCTTGAAAACTTCGTTCAAAACGTAGAACTGGAAAGTAGGCCCAAACATTAATGTAACCACCTCCGTTGTTATTTGTTTTCTTATTCGTATGAGTTGCTCCCATTCACATTTTGTAAGAACACATACACTTGGCAAAAATTCACGAGTCAAATCTTTGCGCACAAAATATCTCTGAAACGAAACACACGGGGAATTTTCAACTGTCACTGTTGAAAGGAACAAAGAGTCTTGTATAACTGCACACTGACCTTCTCGCAAAGAGGGACTTAGTATATCCTTATATTCCACTTTGTCCGAAAAGGCTTGCCACAGGTAAGGAGAGAGAGTGATTCCGCTTTTCGTCGGTATAAACTCGTTGTTTTCGAAGCGCACATATTTTCTTAAGTGTACACGTATTACACGAGCGAAATCTGTTATCACAACAAAATTTTCACCACCAAGATAAAAATGATGAGCAGGTAAAGAATCCAACTTAAACGTCGTTATACTTGCATCGTTAGTCATATTACTTTGACTCGAAAATCTAACTCTCTTGTTCGAAGTTGTAGGTTTCTCTGTTGCAACAGCACGCTTCATTTTCAAAAAATCGCAAGACAATATTTCTTACAAACTACTTTCTTCGCAACAAACAAGAGGCAACTGAATTCTTTCCCAAGAAAAATGGCTCTGTTGCTTTCGATGTGACGTCAAAACAAAATGGCTGGCTTAGAACCAATAGAAAAAAGCTTGTTATCTTATAACACACCTCCTTCGTGACGTATTCCATTATACGTCAGACAACATGAACCAGACTTTAAAAAAGAAACCGTGCGGGGGTGCGTACCAGGGGAGAGAAATTGTTTATTCATGAAAATGGTTGTATCACAAACTCTTTTAATTATAAATGTGATCGTGAAATGATGAGATTAAAATCACAGTTTGCTAATAAGATTTATATATCTCATGAAACCACTTTTTAGTGCATTTTGAGTATTTTTTTACTGCATTTTGAGCATAAGCGTAATTCTTGTCTAAACATTATTACTTTGATAAAACGGTAAAAACACTCTAAACAAAAAATTTATGAATTTACGTTTTG